ATATGACCCCGTCACTTTCTTCTGATTTTCGTTGTCCTTGTTTTTTTAACAATTTGCAAATTTTGGCAACTTCTTAATCTGTGCATGCCATCGTTCCTCAGAGGCCATAGTAATCTTCTCTCTCTCGTGACTATAATTTCAAATTTTCAATGTGGTGATATCCTAGAGGACGGTTGTCTTCTCAACTCTTCGTCTTCGTCTTCGTCTTCGTCTTCGTCTTCGTCTTCGTCTTCGTCTTTGTCTTCATCCTCCTCCTCCTCCTTCTTTTTCTTCTTCTTCTTCTTCTTCTTCTTCTTCTTCTACTTCTTCTTCTTCTTTGTTTTTTGCTACTTTTCTTGTCCCACTCTATGAGGCCTATACTGGAAATCTGCTTCATCAATTGGTCCAGTTTTTTGGTCTTCTTTCTAATGGTTGTTCTAGGCTATTCTGACAATCGTGCTGAAAAAAAAGGAAAAAGAATGACTCTAGAACTCAAACCACGGTGGAACCGGAGAAGAGTAGACCTATCAGCTTCTCAGTAGTGATGCTCTTCGCAGACGACATCACAGTCCTCATCAAGGCAAGTAACTCCTCTTCCAAGCCCTCAAAAGAGTCATGCAGGCATTCCAGTTGGCTTCAGAAATGAAAATCAACTGGCAGAAAACCGTAGGATGGTGGATGGCTGATACACCCCCTCCACCTTCAGAAGAGGAAACGCAAGGCCTCCAGTGATTGGACCCACAGCGACCCCTTAGAGCGCTTGGGATACAACTAAACAGCAGCGGCACAAGCGACACCATGTCCACAAGTCTATTAGCAAAGTCATAAGCAAATCCCGGTGGTTCTCTGACCACCACTGGGATAGAGGCCTTGCACAAGGGCCTTTGGAAAAAAAAAAAAAAAAAAAAGGTCTCGAGGGGTATCAGGTTTGCTGATAGGTGAAGGGTTGAAACTTGGAACTTCTCAGAGGACTTTGAAGTTAGACCGGCAGGAGTGAAAGGGTTTATGAATCTCAATACTGCTGGCTCAATCCAGAGTCCCAGTCCCAGGTCCCAATCCTGAATACCAAGCCCAGGTCGCAGTCCCAAGTACCAGCTTCAAGTCTCAGTCCTTGTTTGTTCCATTGGTGGCATGCACAGTATTCACAAATGCTTAAGAGGAGAGTACGTTTCGTTTGTACAATGCTTTCAGCTGCCTGGGTAGGTTTGTTATGAACTTGGTTGTTTGACAACTGGATTGCCACTCACACACAACTGAACTCACACATGCCCATACGTGCACAAGTCAGGGGGAGGAAGAGACAGAGTCCGCCTGCACACACACCAGAGATAAGCAGCGGAATAGCAACCATGCACAGATGGGGAGAATACACACACAGTGTTCTCTCTCTCTGATGAACTCCCAACAACCAATCACAATTGACTCTGCGAAGATCACAATCGGAAAGTAACCCAGATGATAAGCCAACTCAACACAATTACCCCCAATAATCGTTACAGAGTTTAACCCAGTGTCTCGCCACTCAATTACCACCCACTCCACTCACTACCACACACTCAGAGTTYAGCGCTGCACTGAAACAGCCTCCCAKAGGCCAGCGCCATACACCCAGATGCAGATCATGAGTAGCGAAGTAGTCTCCAGTGTCGATGAGTCCCTCTGACGATGAAGAGGACAGCTATGGCTGTCCGACTGCTGCYGCAGCAGCAGAACCCACATATCCTCAGTGAAGACCTCCGATATAGCCTGCCACCGCAGAGATCCCTCAAGGGATAGCTGCGCTGAAGACAGTCCCAGCTATGGCTGTCTCAGTAGGTCGGCTATGGCTGCTCCACTGCGCTGAYGTCTCAGGTGCCGCTGTAGGCATTCAGCGCTGCTCAACTTTCCTGGCCACCAACGCTGCACGCRAAAAATGAAAGCCAAATGTCCCCCTGCCGGTTTCCCTTCTCGACTTATAGATTCCTACACTAGCCTAGACCTAGACCGGACTGACTGGACTTACCGGTACCCTTGCTGTTTTTCGGCCTCTCGGCCTCTACCGGACCCGGCTATAGGCTATAGGACCGTATAGCAGTATAGGCCGCTTCGGGCCTGTCTGTCCTAGGGTAGCCCGGGCCTGCTATAGGCAGTTAGGGTAGCTGTAGAAATTCGGTTAGTACCGGGCCTGTATTTTCCCGGAATTGCAGATCTGTCCCTCACGAATTTCCAAACAGGCAGGTTCCTCGGTTAGCCCTCAGCCAAACAAAATTTACAAAACTAACCTTACGGTTAGTGTACAGCCTCGCAGTCAATCTCGGCAGCAGAAATCAGCAAGTCATTGCAGGCTTACCCTCCCCGGGAGCGAGGACCTCCGAGCTAGGGGTGCAGACGAGGCGAACGGCGAAGGTCACCCTTCTGAGCCGCCTCATATCGCAGTACAACAGACTTTCCTGTCTTGATCAGGTCTCTTCTGTAGAACCATCGGTTCTCAGAAGGGGGCTGGAAAGCGAACCTGACAAGATACTGCCGGTTGGGGCCAGTGCCCCACTCATCCTCAATGGCCACCACATCATATCCCTTACCAGGGATTGGTGGGCCCCATTGAGGGGGCCGGTCAAGGAATGCATCAGCTGGCGTGAAAGGCAATAACTTAGATGCATGGAAGACCGGATAGGTTCGTAGATGCAGCGGGACGTCGATAACGTACGACGGACCGAAGGGATCAGCGCCCACTGTATCTAGGACCTGCCACGGACCCAAGTAGCGTGGCAACAGCTTGGGAGAGATATCCTCCTCCCTCGACAGCTCTGAGCTGGCCACCCAGACATAGTAACCAGTGCGGATGGGGGAAGGCCGTCGGTGGCGGTTAGCTTGCTCGATCATGGCCCTTTGGGCCTTGAACAAGTTCGCCCTGGCCCTTTCCACATCCAGACGATAGCGTCTGGCGAACTCTGCCGTGCCTGGGGTAAGGTCAGGCTTAGCCTTGTCGATGATATCATCGAGAGGCTGTCGTGGCTCACGTCCCCAATGTAGGCGGTAGGGATTGAATCCTGTCGAGGAGTGGACAAACATGTTATACATGAGCTGTGCCCTCGCTAAGTGAAGATCCCAATCCTGCTGATCTGGGGAGATCACAGGTCGCAGGAGCTGGAACAGGACTTGGTTCATCACTTCAGCCAATCCATTGGCTTCAGGATGACGAGCAGAGGTCATGTCCAGGCGTGAGTGCAGGTAGTCCTTGCAGTAGGACTGCCACTCATCGCTGCAAAATCTGTGGTCTCTATCACTCACGATAGAGGTGGGCGGTCCATGGTGTGTGACCCACCTCTCAGAAAAGGCTGCTCTCACAGCCGGTACTCTGGCTACCTCTGGCAAGGGGATGAACTCTGCGTATTTGGAAAACCTGTCCACGCAGACCATAACCTGACGCATGCCACGAGGGGTGGTCTTGCCTAAGTCTGTGAAATCAATAGAGACCGACTGGGCAGGACCATCAGGTATGGGCAGAGATTTGAGCAATCCCAAAGGAGGTTCCCGCTGAACCTTGTTCCTTTGGCAGAGCTCACAGGTGTCCACATAGCGCAGCATATCACTCTGCATCTCCTTCCAGAAGAAGCGCTGCGACAGGGCTGCATACGACTTTAGGAACCCAAAGTGTCCACGCGCATCGTGGCACTCTGACATCAGCAGTGTCCGCAACTGCTGATCCTCAGGGATGCACAAGCGCTCCTCTCCTCTGCCGCAAGTGTACAACAGATCTGAACTTAGGGCATACCCTGGTTCAGAATTGGGATCTGTTTGCAGATTCCTGACGATGGGTCCATAAGTCGGATCCTGAGGCAGAGAACGAGCAATGGTCTGACGGACCTCCTCTCCAAAGGAGTGAGTAGAGGAGATCAAGGCAAAGGAGTCAGGCCTAYGAGAGAGGGCGTCTGCTACCTTATTGTAGCAGCCCTTCTTATGCTTCAGTTCAAAGTCAAACAGATCAATGAACTGAATATAACGTGCCAACTTATCGTTTAACTCTCCCTGGGACTTCAACCACTGCAAAGTGGAATGATCAGAAAAGATCTTGAAGTGCCTGCCCAGGAGAAAGTGTTTTCAGTGTTTCAGGGCACTGACAAGAGCATAGAGCTCTTTCTCGTAGGTGGAGTCCTGCAACTTCTGATTCTTAATCTTCTTACTCATGAACTCTACAGGTCTCAGACCATTCCCATCATCCTGCTAAAGGATTGCCCCAACGCCATACTGGCTAGCATCAGTAGTCAGTACAAAAGGCAAAGTGGGGTCAGGCAACTTCAGCACAGGTGCACGAGTCAAGTCCTGTTTGAGTCGTGCAAAGGCCATCTGACAGTGGAGGGACCAAAGAAAGGGAGTGTCTTTCTTTGTAAGGTTAGTCAGGGTTGCAGCCACTGCAGAAAAGTTCCTGACGAACTTTCTGTAGTAGGAGGCCAGACCCAAGAATGACCGGACATCTCTCACTGTCTGGGGTTGTGGCCAATCCTGAATGGCAGCAACTTTGGCTGCTTCAGGGGCAACCCATCTCCAGAGATTACGTGACCCAGATAGATAACATAGGGGACTCCAAAAGAGGACTTCTCCCTGTTGATCTTATACTGGCTGTCACGTAACGACTGGAGGACCAGAGCCAAGTGCTCCGCATGTTCCCTGGTAGTTTTGCTGAATACCAGGATATCATCCAGGTAGACAACCATAAACTTATCCAGGTACGACCTGAATATACGGTGCATCTCAGTCTGGAATGTTCCAGGTGCATTGCAAAGTCCAAATGGCATCACCAGGTACTCATAAGTACCATACCTGGTTTTGAAGGCCGTCTTGTGGACGTCCTCCTCTGCCATCTCAATCTGGTGATAGCCAGATTTGAGGTCGACTTTGCTAAAGATGGTGCAGCCCTGGACCATATCCAGCAGGTCATCGATCCTAGGAAGTGGCTTTGTACTCTTCCTAGTGATCTTGTTGAGACCCCTGTAGTCTATGCACATTCTGAACTCACCACTCCCCTTTGGAACAAAGAGGAC